TCTTTGCCATATTGCTGAGAAGGTCTACCTAGCAGAACCAGTTCTGCCAGACCCCTCCCCGAAAATTCAGGACTGGCTTCCAACAATCAAGCCCAGACCCCATCCTCAGCACTGCTATCTCCTCCGCATCCAAGCTGGGAGAGCATCGTTCAGCGATGGGAAGCTCTGTGTCTAAGCTTCAGAACTCCTCCCCCGACCCCGAGATCTGTGTGAACACACCACTTGCCCCAAACTCAGTGTTTCTAGGCAGCAAACCTCTCTCCAACGAACCTTCTCCAGCTCCTTGGGGAAGGGACTTGAATTATATGAAACAATCAGCTCTGAGCCAACCTACGGATGAGGCAAGAAACAGTGCCTTGTTGTACAAACATTTACTAGAAACTAGAGTGGCACCAAGCACGTATACACCACACTCCCCAAAGTCAGATAAGGCCTGAGCAACAAAATATGCTTCACAGGAGACAAGGAACAGAATTTTGACCTCAGTAATCCTCTGTAACTTTCAAACTGGGTACCCCCCAAACAAGAGGTAAAGGAGTTAGAAGTGGAAACATCCTCACCATACCACCTCCTTGCTCTTTGCCTTCTTTGACTCTCTTTCTCTGTCCACTGAGCTTTCTCTCCCTTCGAGGCCTTTCTGTCTGCCTCTTCTCCAACACACAAGGTCCTACTCTCCCTCCCTTCCCTCCTCCTGATTTGTTCTTCCTCAGCCCCTGTCCACACCTGAGTGGCCACACCCTCACGCTGAGAATCGGGTGGAGTGTCTTTCCCAGGACCTGCTCAGTTTCTCTCTGAGCCTGATTTTGTTCCTGGTGAAATCCTTTCTGTTGTGAACGTCTAAACAAGCTGAGAAAGCATGCGGTCCCACAAGCCAGGACCTTCATGTTTCATTTACCAGGCCTCTGGAAACTTCCGGTTTCCAGGAGATGCTCGTGTGGTCTGAACTCCCACCTGGGGACTCTGGGGTGATGGTCAGAGAAGACTTCCTTGATCTTCTCAGCAGCTGGGAGTCAAGATTCCTCTGTAAAATGCCCACTTCAATGTGACACACTGCCTCCTTTCTCTTTCCTACCAATTTACATAGATTAAACTGGCGCTTAGCACGAACTCAGCATAGGAATAGCAGGATCTTAGAATTTCAAAGCTGCAAGAGGTCTTGGCGACCACTAAGTTCAGTTTTCTCAAGAAAGGAGTGACCTGCCCATAGTCACACAATGGAGTCAGGACAAGCCCACAGCCTTTCCTGTCTTCTTAGCCAGCCATTTTATACCTACTACAAAATTCTTGTCAGTTTCAACCTGGGCCAAAAGTGTTCACTATTTTAAGGCTATTTGAAGAATGAATTTGTGAACTGGCTTAAGAAATGCAAAAACAGCCACAGCTACATCAGGCAAAGAGCACCCAAAGCAGAGGAATTCCTCTTAGTTGCAAATTTGCCCTCTACACATCAGGGAAGAAAATGTTGGCCCCACTGCTTTGTTTAAAAGGCAAAGGGAGAACCAGCAACAGCCACAAGTGTTTGAGTTTTTGTCTTCATGCTTCATTTTCCATGAAATCTTCTAGTTAAATAGAGGGAAATGGCTTTACCAATCAGAGCACCAGAGACTGACATGTTATACACAGTCATCTTGGGGATGTGCTTTTGAGGGGTGAGGTTCTGGAAATTCAAATAAACTCATAACTGGATCCATATGTGGACTTCCTTCATTACTGAATACCAAGGACAGCCCAGAAATTCAGAGTAAGCTGGGCAGAACCAACAAGATTCTCTAGAAGCTATGATCAGAAAATTCCAGCTCTAAGAGAGTTAAGGATACAAGCTGTTCTCAAGCAACTGATGCCCAGATTGCCAACAATTAAACAGAAGCTACCTTTGATTGGCAGCCTGCTCCTGTAGTTACTATGATATGTGGTAAATACATAGGTGTAAACCACATGCACTATGGACCAAATTATGGGACAATTCACGAAAGGTCAAGTTAGAAGCTTGTGTTTCCGGCTGCACTGATTTAACCATGACCTGGTAGGTAATAATACTGGGTGTGCCCCTCTGAGTATGTACAGATGAGAGTCCCAAATGTCTCCGAGCTTTTCTGGTAGGCAGTTAGGCATAGACATGTGGTAAGTTACAGAAGGTAACATATTTGTATATATAGAAAATTAAATAGCTCAGAATCAAATTATATATATATGATTGACTAGGTATATACTTTCAAAATTTCCACAATGTTCTCTTTGAGGCTCAGGTGGAAGGAAAGAAGGAAGGAAGGAAGGAAGGAAGGAAGGAAGGAAAGAAGGAGAGAGAGAGGAGGCACTGTAGCTCTTCAAGCTGTATTAATTTAATTTTAAAGAAGAGTTAAATGGCTAGAAGTTAAAGAACATTGAGTGGAACAACAACAAAACCAAAATAGATATTTTCTGTGTCCTTTCAGCCCTACAGAACTTACAGAGGAAATGATTTTACCCAGCTTAGGAAGGGCTGATGATTAGAGCTGTCCAGCAAGGGAGGATGAGTGTGGAGGTACCCTCAGGTATCAGAGAATCCCCTGTGGGGAAATTTCAAGGAGCTATAATATGACCATCTGTCCAAGATGGTGTAAATACTGGATTTCTGCATATGGTAAGAGAATGAATGAGCTGATCTCCAAGATCCCTCCCAAATTTAGACTTCTACAAATGAAATCAAAGATGTAATAAAACTAATTCACTTTGTGCCCTTTTCTGTAGCTATTCTTCAGGTATAAAGTCTATCAGGGTGTACAAAATCTCCTGAAAAGGCAGCTTTACATCCTCTTTAAGCCTCGCCAGGTCTCTGATTGTACTCTTTCTCCAGTGCTCCTTGTGGGTCCAGCACTAACCTGAACCCGCAAGATCCACCCAGCACTCCCAAGGTGGTCTCCATGAAGCCTGTCCTCAAAGCTGGGAACTGGACAGGCTCAGTCTGGTCTCCAGAGGGAAACAGAGAGGGCTGAGCAAGCCACACTGAGTACTTTCTGGGTCTGTAGAGGGGAAGTCCTTCTTCTGCTCAGAGGACCGCCTGGTGCTCTGGGAGGGAGCCGGTTTCTGAGGATGTGATCTGCTCTAGACTGGTCTCTCATGGTCGTCTGCCAACTCCCAAGACAGCTTAGTGCCCCGAACAATGTAAGAGCTGGGGGCCCCTGAAAAGGCTCCAGACCGGATGTTCAGCAGCCTTGGACAGCACTCCGCCCCCACCCCATTCTTTAGCATCTGGGTGGACCTGGATTGCCTCTGAGGGTGGGAGGCCACAGGGGAAAACAAGCTCCTATTTCAGTGTGGTCATAGAAGACTTACAGCTGAAGTCCAGAAAAACTCTCCCGGCTGAGAGATTTTCCCAGTGCTTAGAGGAAAAGCAGAGACCAGAAATCAGATCAGAGGGAGTTTTTTTTAATTGCCCTTGAACTCTAGGGAAAAAAAACACTGCATATTTTCTCATTTATAAAGCTACAGTGTAATGTGAACCGCTCCACAAATAATGTGATTCCTAATGGTCACACTGTCAGGATTGTTGCTGTTTTCCATTTGCTCAATGGCTAGAGGTTGCTTATTAGTTTTATCCTGCACATAACTAAAAGAAAATTTGTATTATCTTCTGGGATACCATCACTATGAACTTAATAATGGCTTTCCTAACTTATATCCATGTAATCTGAAAATAATAAACATTTGAAGCCCTTGTAGGAATTCCCTGCTTCTTGAAAAGTTGCCCTGTACTTACTTAATCACCCCCTTAGGGGCAGTTTTACAAAGAGTCTTGCCTGTTCAATGCACAGGCTGATTACATCTAAATCTTCTCGCCCAACGAGCAAGCTGCATTTCTGAAAGAAAAGCCTAACTTCATCAGACAAGCTGAATCATGTCATTCTCCTGTCTTGTTTACGTGGGGGAAAAATACACCAGTGTGAGTGTTGCAATGGGCCACACCTCCATAGACACTCAACTGAAATGCTAAATTAATTAAACAAAAACAAACCGAAAAGGTACCTTTCCTCATTTCCCGTGGTTCTCTTCATGCTTACCATGACCATTTGCATTTCTACAACCACATTCTGGGAAAGAGTAGAAAGAAAAACATCCCAAAAACAATCACTGAAGGAAAATTCTACATCCACTTAGAAAATTCTTTTATCATTTCTTAGGTTGACCGTCTGTCTACTCAGCACTGAAGTGCAGCTCTTGCAGGGTGGACCTACTGGGCCATTCAATAGGTTTGCACAGGACCTGATGAAGTCCCTGTGCCCCACCCTCTCCTCCAAGCCTGGTTCCAATGTTCTCCCTCACTTCCACATCTGGCCAAGGAGAGGAAGTTGGAACCCACACAGAGCTCCAGATTCCACCAAATGAACCCCTCCCGGATTTTATTTGAAACACCATTTAGCCTCTCTCTCTTTTCCCCTAACGGTTTTCATTAAACAAACCAATCCCTTTTCCCAACCTTTGAGAAGAAGGAGGAGGAGGAGGAGGAGGAGGAGGAGAGGAGGACTCAAATGTAAATAGAAGTGAATGTACAAGCAATAAAAGTAAAGGACAAAAATAAACTATATATCCATCATCACCTCCCAAAACACCAGCAAACAACCTCCAGGTAAAAAGAGACTCAAATCCAATTTGAATCAAAATAAAAGAGTTGAGAACAACATCTGGCCAGTTCAGTGTGCCATTTCTCAGGTATTCGGGTTCCCTCCATAAAGGATATCCCATCCAGGTTTATTCCAGAGTCCCTACTCCTGACATGCCTTCAGGGTGAGAACTCAGTTGCTCCGAGAAATAATTATAGCCCAGTCCTGCCGATTTCCCCTCTCCTCAAAATTAATCTCTGTGAATTTTCAGGGGAAAATGGGCTCAACATCCACTTTTAAGCAAAAGTTTCGAGGACTTTAGAGAGGCATAGAAAAGTGCCAGAGTAAAACCAAGGCTTAGGTGAATTCAGAAGAAGGAGGAGGAGAGGCTCTTCCCAGCTTCCCGGGTGGGAGCTGGCCTACCTTTACTTCCAGCGAGGACGGAGGCAGACACCGCAAGTGGCCCTAGCTGGCAGCTGCCCGGTCCGCTCTCCTGGAGGTAGGCGAGAGCAGTGAGGGGAGGGACCTGCCTCCCGAGGTTATAAATTTCCTCCTCTGGTGAGCTGGGGTGTGTGATGGGCGGTTTCTTTTCCCTGGGTTTTAAAGGAGTTTCTATGAATCAGTCTGGCTTTAAAAAAAAAAAATTGTTGGTAAGCTACGCCCTGCAAAGTTGGCAGTCAGTCAAAAGTGGCTGGGAGTGAGCCATCAATTCAGACAAGCCCGTCGCAGGCTCCCTCTGACTCAGATGCACGGACCACAGTGGAAAAAGGAGTGACATTGCTGCAAATGAGTAATAGGAGTCACACAAATAGATCTGTTTACTGGAGTCCATTCCTCCTCACAGAAAGGAGGCTTGGTAACCATGAACAGGAGGCAAAATACAGGATCCAGCAGCGGAGGGGGAGGGAACAAGGACTCTCCTGTTAATTAAATGGAGCTAATCATCCAACAAAAGAGTCCTGCTCTCCCTCCCCCGTCAAATGCATCAGCTGCTGCTCATTGTCAGGAATTTATTTCTGGCTTCCCGCTTGACTGTCCTGCTCTATCTGCCCTATGGGTAGCTGAGGGGCCCACCGTGAATGCTTGTGACTTGCCTCTGAATGGCAGCAAGACAGTCCCTGGTCTGTAATTATGCTCCCTGGATCTGCACATCCAGGAACAAGTCCCCTAGTTCAGGACTTTGCTCTCTGATCTCCATGCAATCATCATCTGGACCTTGCTCCACAATTGACTTTCTTGAACCCAGCAGGAGCTTGATCATCTCAGCCACCTCCCTGTGTGTGCCCCTCCCTTTCTCCCTCCCTCTCTCTCTCTCTCTCTCTCTCTCTCTCTCTCTCTCTGTCTCCCTCTCTCTCTGTCTCCCTCTCTCTCTCCCTGGAGCTAGGAGGGGCCTTTGAAGGCATGGAGTCCCACAGAGAGCCTTCCACTGGAGATTCAGAGCCCTCCTGGGTTAAAGTATCACTTAACCTCACTTACCAGCTCAGTGACCGGCCAGATCACCTGCCCTCTCTCCGTACCTATTTCTTGTATATAGGAAATAGTGGGTAGCTATCTCAAGGAGTTATGGTGAGAAATTCCTGCCTGGAGCTTACAACAATGCACACCATAAGCGCTCAGTGTTAGCTATGACTATTTCACTGAAGAAACTCGGGCCCAGAGGGAGGTCAAATGACTTCTCCAAGCAGCCACAGTAGGCTCGCAGTAGCAGCTGGTGGCCCCAAGCAGTTCTATTTCTGTTCTCTGCTGTATCCCAACAACCTGTGTCAATTCAAAGTAAGCTCCTATACTAATTTATTCATTCACCCAGAGTGCTGCACATCAGCCTTCACTGAGTCCTGCACATCAGCCTTCACTGAGTCCTGTTCAGAACTGGGTCACAGCAGTGAACCAGATCCCTGACCTCTTGGAATTTGAATTGTGTAAAAGGATAGAGAATGGACTGGTGGCAATTCAGCAAAATGTTGATACATTTAGGTGGTAAAATTACAGGTAAATTTTGTTGCTTCAGGCCACATTTCTGTATTTTTCGATTCTGCTACAATGAATCTATATTACTTCGGTGCTTAGGAAAAAATACATTCAAAAAGAAGAAAATATTTTCTAAAGTGAGTGAGGGAGAAACACCACACACACACACATACACACACACACACACACGCACATGCACACACACTCACCCAGAGTGATTTGATGCTGCTTCTCTACAATTTCCTAGGAGCTGAATTCAATCCTTATAAAAGTAACCAAGTTTAGATTTTTTTCATTAAAAACTGATGATGTGACAAAGATTGCATCAGTTTCTCAAGTATTTCTTCACCTCCCCCTCTCCCATCAGTCATTGGATAATAAAAGTCTGCCAGATGCCACTCCCAGCCCTGGGCAGATCCCTGGGAATCCCAGCAGCCCTGCCCTCGGGAGGGGAGAGTGTCAGCAGGTGAGGCTGAGTCCTCCCAGGCTGTGAGGACCTGCACCTTCTCCCTGCCAGAATCTGTCTCCTGGGACTTCTACCCTCAGGGTACCTCTCCCCTCCGAGACCTTCTGCCAATTGCATTTTTTAAAAACCCCTGAAACCTGGAGCCGGGGAATGTTGGAGGGCAGGGTTCTCCCCCCTCACCCTACCTGACCCCTGGATCCCTTTTTGAGTTAACAAAGGGAAAAAAGCAGAAACTTTTCTTAAAGTACGTGAGTAGAGGAGTCCTTGGTCCTTCAGGATTAACACAATGGATTCTAGAACAAGCGACAGAGGGAGAGACTCTGAAAGCAGCACCCAGAAAGCAGGAGTTCTAGTTTTTCCTTTCCTAATGCCAGGCTGGGGCAGGAGCAAGAGATCTGCCCTCCTGCTTTTCAGCCATAAAGTGAGTAGATACCACAGCCTTCCAAATGCGCCTAATAAATCACATCTTCCTGCATGCTTTGGAGATGTTTAGGCTTGGAGAGAAAACTGTTGAGCTCTTCACACACACACACACACACACACACACACACGCACAATGGTGCCATACAGAGCCAAATATTTAGTGTAAATATGTTTTAAGATGGATGCTATTCAGGAATTTTAAAGTCTCATAATTAACCCTTGCAACATCAGGGGGCTCATTTTGTAAAATGTTTATCAAGTCTAGGAAAGAAATCAGATCTGTTCCAGCCAAAGGTCCCTTTTACTGTGCCTCTGGATGTGATTAAAACATTAACACCTGATTCTTTCACAGCTGTGAGCAGAGGATTATAAGACTTTGGGCTGTAAAGGGTTCAAGGGTCTAAAACACGTGGAGCTCGGAAATGCAGCTCTCTCCGGCATCTACATGGTCTTCCCAAACAGTCTGGAGAAATCTGCATTTCTGCTCTGCTCCTATTTCCCCCATTTGGAAGGTAGATGAGATGCATTCCTTTTCCACACAGGCAAAGGCTGGGCAGAGTTTCACTAGAGCTCAGTGAAGCCATAGGTTCTTAGGAAGGAATGTCCCTTCTTGCTCAATGGAACAGGGTCACTGGGGCTCAGGGATATGCCCTCTCCTTTGCAGCAAGAAGAATCTGCTTGTGGCATAGCACCATGGGGGCAGATTTTCAAGACTGAACTGGCATAAACACTTTTAATGAATGTATGAAACCAGGGCTTTTAATGACTGATACAAGGAGAAGACTCCAAAGGTAGGTCTGCCCCCGGCAACCCACAGAAAAGAAAACTAGTAATAGCTCAAACTTGTTTGTGCTCAAACTCAGCCAAAAAGAATCCCAACCTTGCAACATGTTCTCCCCAGCTATTATATGTGCAAGGGATGTCAGTGTTAATACCAGCACACGCTGAAAGAGAAATAGGTTGAAAAAGAAAAGTTATATGGTTTCTTCCAGTGTCAAATGAATGCTTGTCCCTTGCCACCCCTCCGAAATTTGAGAATTTCACAGAAATTCCCTATTCCTCCTGGCCCTTTTCTTCCCTTCATTTCTTTCCTCTGTGCTTCTCTTTGTTTTTCCCACAGGATGTTTTCATCCTCCTTTTATTGTTGATTTTCCTAAGTAGCTCTCAGTAACTGTAATTTTAATATGGCTTTGCAAACAAGAAGTCTCGAAACTATTCGTCTCCCCCATCTCTTGCCCCTTAGCTGGTCTGTACTGAAACCGCTCTGGAAAGACAACACTGATGGAATTCTGAGAGCATTCCAAGATCCTGGGCTGCTGGCCTGACACTTCCAGCTGAACAGACAGGAAAGTCTCAGTAACAAAGCAGTGCACCTTAGTACAGGGGAGAGGTAGCCACATCTACAAGGACATCTAAACTCAGCAAGGAAAAGCCAACCCTGCCATGTCAGTGACCACATGGAGATTAATTGCTGTCATCAATTCTCCGGGCAATTGGAGATGCCATGGATGATTGAAATGGCTGGAAGAAAAGACCTTCTGAGCCAGGCCCACAGGAGATATAGCTTCATGGTCAGAGAAGAACAATACACACACAAATAAAAAGCAGTTGTGACCAAAATAAAAAGTGAAAAGATTCTCTCTCCACCTAACGTCAACTATAATATTAGAAGGTAGATAGTAGGGGAATATTGAAGTTATGGGTTTTCTTTTGTACTTTGGCCTTCATGCTTCTGCGAGTGTTGCTCCCACTGTTTTATGGACCTTTGCAGCTAAAGAACTGATTATTCATAATTAAGAAATGAGCAACAGATCCAATAAGTAGATGCTGGCTCCATAGCAGGTGCTCAGTTAAAATGTAGTACAGTTAATCAGCCAAGGATCTAATACCAAGGGGTATTTTTGTAAATCTCATGTTTTCCATCAAAATTTCTTTCCCTCAAAACTCAGATTCTCATCCGAGCACTCCTCTAGGTAGGCCCACACAGCTTTGGGAAAAGCAGCTGGGACATGTCTATCAATCTGGCCAGAGAAAATTGTCATGGAAGGGGGCACAAATCCAAGCAATCCAACCTCTTGTGCTTATTATTATTGTTAATGTATGTTATTTTATAAATTAACAGGTTTCACTCTGACCTTTCCAAACATGCACGTGGTGTGCTTTGACCCCGTTCACTTGCCCTTGTACCTGTCTTTCTCTCCCTTTCCGTCTAGTCCCCTTCTCCGTCTTTAATACTCCATTTTACTTTTGGTCATCTTTCTGTTTGTTTGTTTCCACATAAGAGAGAAAACATGCTATGTTTGTCTTTCTGTGTCTGGCTTATTTTGTTTAACAAGATGACTCCAGTTCCATCCGTTTTCTTGAAAATGACATTACTTCATTCTTCTTCATAGGTCAATAATATTATCTTGCATATATATATACTACATTTTCTTTACCTATTCATCTGTTTGTGGGTACCTCACAGCCTAGGATCTTAAAACATATTCCTCAACAGCAAAGCACACAAGACCCAGGGACATGCTAGAAGTGATCTTTGAGGCCTAATTACCCCCTTGGAAAAGCGTGAATTGTTTCTCATGAGTCAAAAACAAACACTAAGGAGAATAACTCAATTATTTGGCCTCTTTGGAAAAATGGAGTATCCTTTCCAGTTACATTTTCGGATAATTGGTTGAAATGTAAACAAGACTTCTTTCAAACCTTTAAGTCACACACATGCGCACGCACACACACACATGCAC